TCGGCCGCGGGTGGCGGAAATCTCGCTTTCCCGAAGCCCGGTCCTAATCTATCAGGCTGCATTTCCGCCTCCACCCACCGCACCGGCCAGTGCCCTGGCTCGGTCCGGCCAGCGGGGCGTGCAAACTTACCATTTATATTGACATTTTGGGAGCCTACATCTTGTAAACGGCTGGAGATAAGAAAGTTATGCGGAGGGTAGCTTCAGTTTTTCATATCTTGCCGTTATGAAATGAAACTCCAAAAAGCGCAAAAAGTATGCTAAGTTTGCACGGCCGGCTGCGCCCACCCGTGACAGGGCGGGGCGGACACCTGCCAGTCTGCCAGTCGCCACGAAATGACGCGGTCGTCGGCCCGGTTCTCGCCATCACGTTGCCGCGATGTCACGCGGCCGCCTGTCATCCGAACCACATATCACATCGCAGAGTCGAGGCGTGTATACGAACAAGCCGGACAGCAACCCATTTCGCGCCAAATTTGAAATTGGGCTCGGGGCGCGCTGCGTCAGACTCCCCACGCGAACGGAGCGCACCTATCCGGCCTCCGGGCACCTCCGGGTACCTCCGGGTGATCTCGAAGGGCGAGGCCGTTGGCTGACTCCGAACGGAGGCTGTTGGTCTGTCTCTCCCGGACAGGACGCTCCATGAGTGCGAGAGAGACCTCACTCAGCCTGCAGGCACTGCAGGGCGAGGTACGGCAGGGACAGTCATCACGGCCGCACCACGGCGATGCGATAGCGACCGATAAGTGGCGCGATAACTTGCGGTCACATCGCCGACCCTCGCAGTGCCCCGGCAGTGCCCCGCAGCCATTGGCCTGCAACTCCGCGTCGTCCACGCTCCGCCTGCAGGCACACTGCAAGCTTGGCGGCCGGCCCAGCCCGGCCATCCAGCCCCCACGGCGTTCCGTGGTGGCCGCATTGGTCGCGACCCTCGACCAACCGGCCAAATCTCCCCGTCAACAGGGCGCTGCGTCGTCCGAGCAGCCCAAGCCATCACTTGGAACGCGGAGGAGCCTGCCAGCGCCAGCCGGCCAGTCGGGCAGACAGACGGCTGAAGTAATCCTCAATCGTGGATGCTGTAGATGTAGAAGGCGACGCCGTTGCACCACTGGGGCACACACACATGACTCGTACGACACCACGACACTCGAAGCGCTACCAACCATTTCGCCGACGCAGCCGCCGCGGCGCCGCAGAACTAGGCCGCCACACCGTGCACGCGTGCACGCACGACGCACGCGTGCCACACACACGTCACGGAGGCCGCGATGCGCCGCGATGTCGGATGGCTCGGTGGGCCTGCTTGGCCAGCTAGACGCGGACGCAGCTCAGAGTGCACTGACTGTGCCCGTTGACGCGGCGCGGGCGCGGGGCGGAGGGCGTGGGGCGTGGAGCGCGGGCCGGGGAGTGCGGGGCGCGGGGCGGGGGCAGCCCGCTACGGTCCGGGGACGGCGGGGCGCGGGGCCGCAGCAGCGGGCGCCGCCACCACCGTGCCACGCCGCCACGCCACCACGGGACTTGGTTTGGTATGGTAGAGCAGGCCAGGTGAGCGGACTGTCGGACTGCCCTGCCGCGGTCTGCTGCCCCGGCGTCGGACCCGTCGGGCCTTAGCCTCGCCTCACGCCAGCTGACCAGCGTCAAGGAAGCGCCAAAGCAGAATTCGGCTGTCCATCTCGTTGCCTGCCACTGCTAGAACACACTGAGCGGCGCGGTAGGACATTCCTGGTCGTTCCCCGCAGTCCTTTGCGGCATTCTCTCTCTCGCTCCCCTACGTTTGGCCGCGTGAGAGCGAGAGAGACAGAGCGGAATGAGCCCCGCTCTGCCCCGCGCCCCGCCCACCACGGCCCGGGTCCACCGAACTCGCGTCAGATCGTCGCCCGCGTCGCCGCCCGCAGCACTCCACTCCAGGGGGCGGGTAAAAATACCGCGGCAAACAATAGGCGGCACGCATGGTGCAAGCATCGGGCCGCCCAGAGAGGACGGTGGCGTGCCTTCGTACTGCAGGACTCCAGCTCGACGGTAGCGGACCCACAGCACAGCCGGCCTGGAGCGTAACCTTTTGCCTGCTTACAGGGGCAGTGAGTGGCTATCCAGGGGACAAGGGGGCGTTGTCCTTCCTTAGTCCGCGCTTGGGTGGCCAAGTGTAGTTCGGTCCTCGGTGCGCGATGCTGCGATAGGCGACACGTTGCGGTGCAAAACAAGGGCCAGGGCCGCCAGGGCCGCCAGGGCCGCCAGGGCCGCCAGGGCCGCCAGGGCTTCTGGGGGCACAGCTGCTGCACTGTACGTAGTGCCGCTGGTCGAGCAGGCCAAGCAAGCCGGGGCAGAGAAACCCCGCAACTCGGGCATGCCTTGCCTGGCCCACGGCCTGGCCTAGCCAACAATCCACCAGCCGCCGCAGTGCAAGTTGGCGCGAGTCAATATTGGGTCGGTCTCTCCGACGAAACAAGACTGCGTCGTTTTTGAAACGTCAGCAACGCCGCGATGGCCGAGGTCCTGTCCATTGCGCCGAAGGTGGTCGATTATTCGACCAGAAGGGAAGCAAAAAGGAGAGACGAGAAAAGGTAATGAAAGCGAGACTGCGTTCGTCTGCAGCTCCGCAGCGCACAGCTCGCAAAGGACTTGGTTGCCTTGGGGTGGCTGCCGTTGGCTGCGCATGGGGCTGCCGCTGCCGCTTGGCACGCAGCAGGTGGAAGGCCTCTAGCGTGCATGCGTGCGGCCGCACAGCACAGTTCCGTGCATGGCGGCCCCTTCGGGCCCCTTTCACTGCACTGCACTCGACTGCACTGCACTGCGGCCTGCAGTCCGGCCTGCAGTCCGGCGAGAGGGAAGGGGCGTGCACTGTAAGTACCACCTTGGCCACGGAGCAGGGACAAGGGGGTGGGTGGAGTCAGATTGAGCTTAATTTGGCCGGATGCGGCCCCGCGACCACCGCGGCCCAGGGTGGGGCTTGGTGGAGACAGGCCGGACTCAGAGTGGCGGACTGGCTGTCAATCTCCGGGACTCCGGGACGCTGAGAAAGGAGGGCTGGAGGATAGAGGTCTAACCGCGACACAAGCGCCGGGCAGCCCCGCAGCCGTCGCCCGGCACGGACGGCACGCTCTGCCACCATGCTGCCACCAGGCTTCCCTGCCCGGGCTTGCGAGGCCTAGCCTAGCGTGGCGGCTGGCTGGGTGACAAACAGCAACGCATTGCGGCGTTACGCAAGCCCTGCCTAGTCCTGCCCCTGCCAGTGTGCCACACAAGGGGTAGGTTAGGTTAGGGGTCTCGCTGCGCCGCGTTGCTGCAGTCTGCAGTCCAGCGTCCAGCGATCAGGTTCTGGACGAGGCAGCAACGACACACCGCCACCAGCTGACTGTTTCCGAGTAAGGCTTCTTGTCGCGCTGCCTGTCTCACACGCATACGCCCGGTGTGTGCGAGTGCGAGAGACCTCTCGCTCGGAATCAGCCCGCGGTCGGTACCCTTGACCTGTCCAGACCCGCCTCGCATCGCACCATCGGCAAGCCATCGGCACCGGCCGCTCCGAGCGACGAGTACCAGGTACCTCGCCTCCGCCACCTCCTCGCTCGACCGCATGAGAATAGGACCGGGAGCAACTAGGCACCAACCACGTACAGAGACAGGAGAAGGGTCAGCAGACTCCATCACAAACAGCCAGACCACAGCAAGGTCCATCGCACCGGTTTTGGCCACAAAAGAAAATTAATTACTTCAGTGAGACTCTTGCACGATGTTATGTCCATGTCCAGATCTGGGCATATTTCAGTATCCAGTTAAGACAATCTTTAGCTTTGTTTTAATTATTCCAAGTCAAGAAGCAGTCTGTGGAGCAGCAATCAATCTGCTTACTGTGCACAGAGAAAAAGTTTACAGTTGAAAGCAGGAGTTGTCAAACATTCTGGCACTTCTGCCCTCCAAAAAATTGAGTTGACGTTATCTGCCTGTTCAAAAAAAAAAAAAAAAAAAAAAAAAACGCACAGAAAGGAAATATGGACAGTGAAAGGAAAATTCAAAGCAAGTTAGTGATTTGGCACCACAATTTATCAAAAAAAGGTCACACACAGAGCAAGTGAAAACAAAAGGAGCACACTACATTGTGAAGGGTACCAAAAAGTCTAATACAATATCACAAAAATAAACTCATCATGATCAAATTCAAACTAACAAAGCTTGAGAATTTAAGAGAAATATCCACATCAAATTTTTGTAACTTCTCAAATTAAGACAGTAAGCTGGAAAGTAATTTGTCTTAAAATGAAGCAAATGTTCAGTTAGCAGACAAACTATAGTTCTACTTTAATTCTTTCTCTAGGGTCCGAACATGATCACGTAATAAATAAAGACATATGCAAAATCCTTACAAATAAAAAATAGTTGGGTAAGACCAAAACAATCGGGAATAAATATGAAGAAATAGATGTTTTTCGTACACCACACAGTGGGGACTTAGGGGGGTGCTTACTGACCTTGATTATCCAGAAACGAGCGGAGTTTTGATGACTCGAACGCTTCAATCTGGTCGTCGCAGGCAGCACATTCCTCAAATTACCGCTTCTGAGTTCGATATCATGGCGCAAGCGGCTGAAACAAGCCAAAAACGCAGTTTTTCTCTAACACCTGCGGCCTCACAGGCAAAACGCAAACAAAACAACTCGGTTCTAGTCCGAAGTGGCGGCCATATTGAAATCGAACGGGACCAAGCGGCAGTACTTCGACAAAAAATATGAACGCCACTCTAAAAACGAACATTGCATGTTTGCCACACCTATATGTATAACACCATGGCAAATTTTTTTATTGTCAAAAAATCTTTCTAAAGTGCATTTTGAGGTGGCATTTCAAACTAAAGTTGCGCGAGAAGAAAGGGCGTCATTGGTGGCCCTGTAAAATGGGATCTGCAAGGAAAGCGGGCATTTTGAACGCGGCAGCTTTCATCTCGCCTAATCTCGCCAAGAAAGGAAGCCCAGGGAAGGCAAAGTAGCATCGCTGGACAGGTGACGCATTGTCACTCCCATTTTCTAAATTTTTATTGAATTTTGGCTTGCACATCTCATGTTGAGCGAGAGCAGAAATACGGAAGCGGGAATTGTTTGGTGTTATTACCCTGGCTCCATGGAGACCCGGAGATAGACTGAAGCCTGACTAGTAACAAGCTAGTGTGAACTTGTGTAAGGTGTCTAAGCGTCCTCTTCTTCGATCGGCGCCAGCCAGTGGCCAGCGGCCAGTTTGTGCCGTGGGGAAGGTAGGTGGGTCGTGCTGTGCTGGCTGGGATCTGGGATGGGATCGATGATGTTTGGTGTGATTTACAAGGCGGTGGACTCCTGTCAAGTTTGTTTTGATATGTGAGCTATTAATTTAAGACAGACTTCTACGTTTCGACAGGTTTCCCCTAAACGAAGGACTTAAGTTTATCGCGGTAGTTCCGCATATCACTCTACTGTCGCAAATCAAAACACGTATGTGGATCACTAACCTACCAGTTTCCAACAAACGACCTTATTTTAACCATGACATTCCCCATGAGTTTCTTTTATGTAATATATGTTATTTATATTGTTCCTTAGTAACCATCCAAGATTGATGACAACTTTTGTACTCCTTTGTGCAGGTGATTTCCCATGACACCACATCATGGATCCAATCGTATTGAGTTTTCATGACTCAATTATTAGGCAGAGCGATGTGGATATTTTGGAGGGACCGCACTGGCTGACTGACACCTTAATTGGTTTCTATTTCGAGTACCTGTCTAATGTTGCATATAAAGACGAAACTCGTTTGCTGTTTATTGCTCCAGAAGTGACCCAATGTTTGAAGGTTTGTCTCTTTTCTCTTAGTGTTCCTTTTCCGCTCTTAAAAATCAATTTTATTAAGGCTTTTCAATTGTTGATTTTCTTAATCAGGTTAGTCGCTGTCAGGAATTGGGGGTGTTTCTAGATCCTCTGCAAGTAGAGAAACGGACTTTTATTTTCCTTCCTGTGAATGACTGCACCCAAGTGGAATCACCAGGAGGTTCTCATTGGAGCTTACTGGTTTTTTGTAAAAATGAAGATAGTTTTTTTCATTTTGATTCTTCATCTGGTTCAAACTACCAACATGCTAAGCAATTAGCAAGCAAGCTTAGTAAATACCTTTCTACTTCAGAGGAAGGAGTGTTTGTGCAGGCTGAAACGCTGCAACAAAAAAATGGGTACGACTGTGGTATCCATGTGCTCTGCAATGTGGACCTTGTTGCAGAGTTCTGTGCCCGCTACAACAGGGTTGAAGGTTGTGGTGTCTCAAAACATACTGAAGTGATTAAAAAACGTGTAGAGGTTCTCAACCTTATCTTCCATTTGAAAGAAGAGTCGGTAAGTCAATAAAATTATACTAAAAAAAAAAACTAAAAAAAACCCTGATTAGCAACAAAATTTCATAGCTTTACGCAATATTTTTGGAATTTTGATGAATTTCTGGCATGCAGATGAATCTAAATTTCATTCCAGGAAAATGATGCAAAAAGGAATCCAGGAAAGGATGAAGGAACATCATCAGCAAAGAAGCCAGCTAGTAGTAACATAGCAGGGTCTTCTAAATGAAATATTAAATTATGGATTACTAGTTGTTGATTATAGGAGATATTGTATCAAAGTGTTTATATTTTTCTGCATTATTAGGACTTCTAAGGAAAATTGTGATATGACTGTTTCTGGAACCAATAATGGCTATTTTAATTGAAATGACACATTGACTTAAAGCACATACTGTAGTAATGCTTCTTTTTCTGTGCGCGATCTTAAGAGAGATCTCTGGAAATCTCTGGAGAGAAGTAAAAAAAAAAAAAAACTTTATAACTACTTAGTAAACTATACTAACCCAAATTGATAAATGTAAAACATGTCTTCCTTGCAGATGTAAGGTAACGTTTCTAAATGTTGGCAGAGAGACTCTTTACAATTGTGTATTTAAGTTGTTCAAGAAGAGGATCAAGCGAATTTATTTATGTGATTCTTGTACTTCTGCGCAAGGTTCCTGATTGTTTCAGAGTGTAGAAAGTATCAAGTAAATGTGATAGTTACTTATTTTAAATTATTGAATGATTTGATTTGAGAACTAAATGATTCTAATTTCAGAATTTAGGTTTTAAAGTTACTGATTAAATTATGGGCCTTCTAGACATAAGTAACTGTTGTTGTTAATAGTTATATGAACTGTAAAATTTCCTCTTATTCTTTCCTAATAATGCTAGTCAAACCCTTACCGTAATATCATGTATTTATTTTCGTCATATCATATAACCACACTCACCATCACCACTGTCATCATTTGTCCTCTTAGAAAGGACGAGATTTAATAAACATTGATGAATGAAAGACCATCTTGTGTCCTTTTGAGAGAAGTTCTTAGCCACAATGAACATGAAAAAGAAGTACAAGTCGGTCCTGTTACCGAATTCAAATCTTCCACGTCCAGAATGCCTTTTAACCACGTGATTTCGCCAACCTCGCGCCAGAAAAAGTCTCGCTGTTTCAAACAAAATGTAATACAAAATTCTTGAGGATTCAAACGTTATCTTTCATTCCTGAAAATGCTGTTGTTTTTCGTACATGAATACCTTTATTAAGGAACGAATGCATGAAGACAAAGTTGATATTGTGGGAGATAAAATTGGTTAGTAAGGTTGTCTATAGAGCATCACTTGCCGTCACCGTTCACCGTTACCGTTGTGAAGAGTTGTTGTTTTCGTTACATTCATGGCTCCTATCAAAGAACTAAGCAGGTGGATTTTGGAGATGTCAATGTAATTATTTCTTGCCCATGATCTTGATTAATAATCTTGGACGGGTGAAGGCGCTGGGTGCCTAGAAATGATATCCACTACCTGGAATCTGAGACAAGTAGTAGTATGACGCGGTACGCTGAGTTGGGTTATGGGTGTAGCTAAGCTCCTGGGCCCCTCGGTCTCGGTGCCGCTGCCGCTCGCCTTTATCCGTCTCGCATCACTGCAATGGAAGGATTAATGCTGTGGCTAGTGTCCATAGCAGTAGCAGTTTGCCTCATGTGTGCCTTGTGGGCCTGCATCTGGGGATGCCGGAAGACGGAGCCAAAGTAAGTGATCTACCGGGGTGCCACCCTTGTGTGTCACCTGCCTGCATATTTTAAAATTACCACTTTTCGTTAGTTTCTCTCTTGACACCTGACCTAAGATAACTGCAACTGTAGCAGTCTCGTTTCTTACACAGTCACATGAAAGAAAATCATGGTATCAGTCATCTTTATTTTATATTCATGTAGGTGTTCCTTACAGTACAATTTATCTTTGTTTTATGACAGGAATGAGTTGTTAGGATTAGCTGGAATGGTGAAATTAACAAATCCTGATGAAGCATTCAGTCAAAATGGTCAGTGGCCTGGTCCCAATGCAACTGCTGTAGCGACTACCTCAGATTCACAGTCCAACAAAAGGTAATAAAATGCTTCAGATTGTAATTTCTTAATTGTAGGTGCATTTACTGCCTGTGTGTGTTTTATTTCATTTGCTTTGAAGCCAGATTTGCTAATTATTTTGCATATAATTTTTATTGTGCTCACCTAGCTTTCAATAAATTTTTTTTTAAACCTTCAGGTGCCCAACATCTGCTAACCGAAGTCTTCCTGACTTGCCTGTTGATGTTAGTCATCTTCGTCATCCAGATGGGAGTGTAATTTGGGAGAGTCAAGAAGTAGGGGGTGATACAGGCTCAGAATTATATGCGACAGTGGAAGAAAATGCAAGACCTGGTAAAGCTCTTTGCCCAATTATAACTAAAGAGGTTCCCCATCTTGTAGTATTATTTTAATATGAGCTAATAGTTCTGACATTTCTCAGGTATGCAGTCTCGCAACAAGAAGTTGGTTCCTCGAGAACTGTCATCTGAGAGTAAGGAAGAAAGTGAGAGCACTCGTGAAGGTACATCTCCCATCAGCCAGCCAAACATATTGGATGATGATGGATTCCCCACCTATGCCAGGTTACGGAAAGAACATCCCTATGATAAACTCAAAAAATGTAAGTCTTTAATTTCTGGAGAAGTACCCATTGTGTACCTTGACATGATTAATAGTTCTAAACAAGGGCTTTATTTTTGTTATCAGCAGCAGAACACCCTTATGCTCAAGTAAGACCACCAAGCTCTAGAGAGCCAGATACAGAACAATTGCCGTCAGACAGATTAGATGTGTCAGATCCAGTGCCACCTCCAAGGACGAGGAAATCTCTGTCACATGGTTCTCTTACACCACCCCAAGCTACTATTTCCTCAGGAGTCAATAGTGCTGGGGCTGATTCTCCTCGCTCTCTTCACTCGGGTCATTTGCAGTGTTCTCCACCTGGATCCACACCTGACATAGGTGCAGCTGTGGCTATATCAGGGCGAATATCTGCAAATCAAGATCTACCCTACATGACTCCACCTATTGCATCCTCCCAAACTCAGACTGTTCAGCATTTTAGTGGAGACTCACAAGACTCCAGCAGTAAGTGCTCTTTATGTAGCCCCTCACCTCATTAAAAATCAGCAAATTGTGATTTTTTTTAAAATTTTGATCCCCACAGAAGGATACACTAGCATCAGTGTACGAGAACCCTTAGCTAACATTCGCCAACAGCGTCCTCATGACTCACATTATGCCACTGTATCAGATGACAGCGGTAAGGTCCTTGTTTTCCTTGTCTCTCCTTAGAAGCTAGCAATAGCTGCATGCCAATATTTGTGATGCATTCTTTCTTTCCTTTTTAAGATGAGATGTATGCAGCGATCGAAGACCCAAGTCAAGTGTACACCAGTGGAAGTGAGACTTATGCCCAAATTCAGCCTCTTGCCCTTGTGTCCCTGCCAACCTTCACTCCTCACCCACAACCAACTGACACTGTTGACCATGAGGATGTTACAAGCACTGCGACTCAAACTGTACAAAGTGGGCCAATGCCTGTTCCCACACAGCAGGGTGTTTTAGCTCCTCAGCCTCCTAGTGTGGACAGTTTAAAACATGTGGCTCAAGCTCACTCTCGTCAAGGTATTTATCACATGTGCTATTTCTGTTGGTATCTCTGGTAAAATACTGACCCTTCACTACTTCAACAGTGCTGATTAGCTGAACAGGCTGTAAACTTTCCACATGAAGTAATTGACAGGGTTGTTTCTTAAGAGTTTACCTGCAGAAGAACAAGAGCTGCTGTGCGTTTTCTTAAGGCGGTGACTGGGCAACTTATGAAAATTCACGGCCGCTCTTGTTCATCTGATATCAAGTACCATTTTGACAATGTATCACTTCAAGAAGTGAAAGTGTGTGCTCAATGTATTTCTTCATTTGATAACAGCTTCATCGTCAAGTGCTGCAAGTTCTGTAGCTAATTTGGGTTCTCCAAAACCTGAGAAAAGACCTGCAAATTCTCCACTTCCACCTCCCCCAGCCAATCTGGCAAGTCCAGAAGGTGGATGCAGTTTGGAAGATATGTATGCAAAGGTACATAGTCAATGAAGAATTTAAACATTCTTGAAATCTGGACTCTTTTGTTACCACAACATGTCATTTTCCCTCTTTTTTACTTTTGCTAGGTTGTTAAAAAAAAGAGAGGCAGTGCAGAAGAGACAGATGGAAAGTCTCAAGACACAGATAGTCCTAAAAGCCAACCATCTTCACCGCAAAGGCGCTTCTCTACTCTAATACCATCAGATACTGTTCCTGCAAGCAACGATCCAGGTTATGAGACAGTCAGTGCTACAGAGGCTATTCCACAAGAAAATATTCAAGTACCAGGGTATGAAACTGTTCGAAAAAGTACACAATTGGACATAGATCCTAATTATGAGGAGTTACAAGTTGATGGGATGGATCCAGGATATGCGCATATACGCATGCGAGCTGGGAACAAAGAACCTAAGTATGCCAAGCTTTCCCAGGAGCAAGTCGCTGGGAAACAGGATTGTCTTGAAGAACCTGACTATGCAAGTATATCTAGGGGGCAGAATCAAAAGGTTCTAGCAGCGCGAAAGGTAGCTAGGAGAGAGGATGGGGATGATCCTGGCTATGAACAAGTTCGCTTGCAGAAGGAAAATGTTCAAGGTGAAGACAGTGATCAAGACAATCCTGGTTATGAGCGTGTTCATGCCAGAACTTTTGGAAGCAAGAAGACTGCCCTCCTAGATCAAGATCCAGGCTATGAGCAAGTAAGATTAGGTGGTACTTCTCAAGTATGCTCAGTATCTGATCAAGATTATGAGGGAGTAACTTTGAATCAACTGGACCCTAATTATGAAACTGTTCACAATGAAGAACCCAATTATGAAAGTGTTCAATATTGCAATAATTCTACTTCGGTGGACAATTCCTCAAAAAAATTTGACCATTCTGATGAGGCTTCGAATCCTCTTCTTGGAGGCAGTTAATTTTACTGCATTCGCCAAAGTAATAAAACAAAAGGAAGGGGGAAATTGGAAATTTTATGTCAGCTCAAAGTACAAGAAAAACATCTGTGCTTCTTGAAATTATTTTCTGTGATTACTGTATTTAAAAAAAAAACAACATTTGTATTATAATTTGATTCAATTGCAAATGCAGTATTAATCAATAATGTTAAGTACATAACGTGCCCAAGTTAGTGGGTTTTCTCTAACCCATTTGATAAAAGTGACCTTCATGCTATTGTGTTGTTGATTTGGATGTGCTCTCCAATATTAATTAATCTTTGTCATTGCCATAAGTGTTAATAATGTATTGTTACCTTCTCAATAATTTGAGGTGCTTTCAGATTAATTTACTCTTCATGCAAGACTGAATTAATGAGAACTGAATAGCCATCTTTGAACCTCATGGTATCATAGTTGTACTAAGCTAATAGCCTTTTAAAATTCCCACTTGCTGCTAATGTTGATCAAGGGAGATACATTAAATCAATTATCCAATTTACTACTAAATAACTATCTCCTATAAGCTCATTCAAATGTTTTGAAATGGAACAATTACCAATTTAAAGATTTCCTTGATTTTGAACTATTACATTGTATTATGTATACTATATACACTTGTAGGTAAATGGTGTAGGCAGCTGATTAGTGGTATTTGATCATTAAATAGGTCCAATGGGACTTATGAAAAACTTTGTAATTCCAGCTTTGGGTGATGATGATATTGACTGAGAACTCTCTACAAGTAGATGACAACTTACTCTTTACCTTAAATAAATGCCCCCAAAAAGCAAAAACTTAAAAAAGGATTACTTCAATTTCCTGTTATATACTTATAATATGTACAAGTAGTAGTCATCTACTTGAAGAGGGTCATTTTTATACATATCTTTTAACAAATTTTTATTTATGTTGACAAATTTGTTTGAATATTTTAATGCTAGGTCAGAGTACAAATGAAATTACGATTTATTGTAATCAAATTATTCAAACTGTATTTCTTATTTTAAACATGCATTTTACTTGATAGTTCTAAGTTTCATTTTTTTCCAACTTAAGAGCTTATATGCAGCCAATCACATACACTTAGTTAAGCAGCTTCCAGGCAATTCCTGAAAAACAGACAGACATGAATTGAAAAAGACCACAAGATGACAAATACAAACTTGAGACCATTCACCATCTTACATGCGGAGGATGATTGCTTCAAGCTATTTCGATGTCATTGCTGTCATTTGTTGATACAGATTCAGCAGTGTCATCTAATGGTCCAGCTTCAAAGTAAGTTAAAGGCATGAATTTAGAACTTAGAAATGATTTAACTGCTTGAAATTTGGGTTTTACTGAACTACCTGATAGACGAATGTTTGCTGAAAACAAACTTGGATTTAGTGAAGGGAGAAGAGAAAGCAATGATAATAATTAAAACAACTTAAAACATAATTTACCAGCCAAAAGGTCCTTGATGTTGCCTTGGTTTTTCACAGTTAAGTCCACCTAAATGAGAAGGAAATAACATACAAGTCACAGAATATAGACCATTCTTAGGAGCATTAAAAGTAACTTTGAAAGCAATATATTTCATCCTCATACCACATGTACATCATCTTCAGTAGTAGGCTCCCTCAACACTCTGATAATGCAATGCTGATCCACTACAAGGTTGTGAAGCATGTCAAGTGTATGGAGATCCCAACTTCCATCCTTGCTGACCTGAACAATGAGAGGGGGAAGAGGAGAGGAAAATCAGAAGGTATTCCTTTGAATAAGCACAAGATTACACGATCAAATTCACTCCTCCAATCCACATTTGCTCCCCCCTCCCCCTTTTGATTTTCAGTGCAAAAGGGGTCCTTTTTAACTATAGAAAAAAAAGAGAAATACAATGGTAAAGAAATCATACCGGTTTTAATCCTCTTACACGGCATTTGCGAGCAAGTATAGGAATGCCTCGACAAACAACTTTCTTCCTGACTTCAACTGATCGGCACTCCTCTACATTACCATAGTCTACCAGCTGGACCATTAACATGTTGTTCGACAGTAACTGAAAATAATTGGAAGTACATATAGAAATTAAGAAAAGGAAGAGCGTAAGCTAACAGGAAAATAATTAGATTTAACTAGAGGTGAATCACCTTTATGACTTTCCCTCGGTACCAACTGCCATCCACATGGTACCTTACAGAACACATTTGATTCTCAAACCAATAGGCATCTTCAGGCCCTGGTTTTGATTCCACAAACATTCGGTTCAAACGCTTACAAACTTTATTAAGTGCTTCTGAATCTACAAATTTAACAATAAGACAGTTAAAACAGCAGTTTATAGCAGGAGAACAAAAGGAAACGAGAGGAAATGAGATTGACTAATACCTTCATTATCTTGGAGATAAACACAAGCATCATGGTCCACATAAGAGGCCTTGCCCTCAAATTCATCAGAAAAGAACTGTTTAGCAGGAAGCCAGCTATCTTTCATTTTTGGAATCTCCCCCTCGCCATCACTTCCATCGTTCTCGGTGCTGCTTTCGCTGTTTAAATCCTGATAATAAATAGCATAGATAAATGCAAAAGACTTTTAAATATCAGTGGGTTAGTTTTATAAAAATTGTGGCAGAGGAACACAGCAAACTACTGGTTGCTTACTGCATAACAGAAAAATGAGTCAAGAATGAAACAAACAAGATAAAAACAAACTACAGTATTTGAAGCAATTTATGAATTTAATATATTTAAGACCACAAGAAAAACTAATAATCGACATAACAAAGAACAACATGCAGAAAGGGGATGGCAGAGTGCTGCTTGATATTATTTGAGCAGGACGTAAACAAATTGAGCAACCCGCTTCTAAATTTAGCTTGTTCTTACCTTCAGATCTCCATAGGAGTCATCTTGCTCTACAATACTGTAGTCACAAGGGGAAATTTCAGCCATAAGTGACCTGTAGAAGATAAGATAAAAATCAGAGAAGATATTAACATGAGAAGTTAAAAATTAACTACAAAGGTATTATGCCAAGCACACCAGTCTATAGGGAGGGCTGCTCCTCTTTCAACCAGATATTGGTTTATTGTGAACCAATGCTCTCTGCTAGGCTCCAGAGGTTCTGCTATTAGGTTGCATGCCCATAATAATACTGGTATAGATTTGTCCTTAATTTCCCCCTGAAAAAGAAAATACTGATAAAACACTTGTACACACAAGACCACTAGTCCACTAAATACTCTGGTAGTATTTCAAATAAAACCCGAACTGTCTTGTACCTTCTTTGTAAAATACAGATTAAAGCTGTGCTCCTTCAGAATTTCGTTGAGCGTATCACAAGCCATTGACGACCAAGCTGCATCATTGCCACCAGCAGGTTTGACATTGGTCAAATGGCATTTGATGGAGCCATCCATGCCATGCAAAAATACTGGTGCTAATTTTCGAATAGAATCTGATGACACTATGTCAATTCTTCCAATATCTTTACAATTTACCTAAAAAAAATTTTTTTTTTTAAATTATTAGAAAAATGAATAAAAATGGAACTATTCATGTTAGACATAATTCAAAATAAATCGAAGGAATTTACCTTAACCTGTGAATCCGAAAGTACATCCAACACAACTGCTCTGTACCATTTAGAGTCCACAGAACTTTTCACAGCACACTTCTCTGAAACATCTGGGCGCCAGTTCAATGACTCTTTAAGAAGACCACCGCCCTCATAAAAATGTAGCATATTCTTTATCATGCTACAACCAAACACAGGGGTAAGAAATTTAATTTTTAAAATATAATCTTTTGGAACGCAAAGTGACATGAGAACAAACCTTTCAACTTTAAACATTTCTGATTTGCGCCTGACAAAAATGCAGCTTGGTGATTCAGCCGACAAAATCACAACCTGTTCTTTTACTGGGGACCGATGAGGAGCTGGGATGACTGAACTCTGTGCCTGTTTAAGTCTGGACTGGACAGAACTAAAAGGCCTTTTAAAATTTTTTTTGAATGAGCAAGTTTTTGATGTACTTGGTGGAGTGTGTAACTTCTCATCTGTACTATAAGCACGATTGCAATCATACTTTTCATTCAAAGCTTCAATACCAATTGGTAACAGCTTGACTGATTCCTGGCCTCTTTTAATTGCACAAGCATCAGGCTGTTCTGATTTTAAATAATTACTCAAAACAGAACCATCTATCTTTTCAGAGCTGATCAATTCTTTATCAACAGCTTCTTGCTGGTCTGAATATTCAACAGAACCAGATGACTCTTCAAGGCAATTACTAGGAACAGATACAAACAACTCTTGAAGGCCATTACCAGGTACAGAAACAGATGACTTTCCAAGACAATTACTAGAAACAGAGCCAGATGACTTTCCAAGACAATTACTAGAAACAGAGCCAGATGACTCTTCAAGACTATCTGCCTCACTTGAAATCAGGTCTCTCTCTTTCTGCGAGAGTACTTTCTGTTCATTGTTCTCTTGTTCTGTGACCAATAAATCTTCATCCTCATTTTCTAGAAATCTGTTTCTCTTTTCAGTGGTTTTACAGATTCTAGTATTTGGCAATTTCTCTGCACTGTCTTCATCAGAGTTTGAGGAGTCAAAATATCCAATTTGATGCTTGTTCAATATTTTTCTGCGGCTTGAAAGTCTGATGTTACAAGTCATTTCCTACAAAAAAAATAAAAAAATTTGTTCCTATGAAAGTACACAACTACACAAACACAACCGTCAGAAAATTTGTAGACATTCAACAACCCTATTTGAAAGTTTTTAATAAAGGGAGACAATGAAATTATGGGTACCTTGTGTTCTTTCTTGGCTAGAATTAAATCTTCTTCATCCTTTTGATATTCTGATAACAAGGACCTGAAATAAAAGTAAAATAATGTAGTGAGAATACCTTGTGTCACAGAACTTACTTGTGTTTGTTGGCACCCATCATTACCTGTGGCCAGTGCTTTGGGCAAATTTGTTCTGGACAAGGAGGCCATTGATACAAAGAGTGTTATTTTCTTCTACCATGTAAAGGAAGACCTTGTAATGATCTTTTTCCTGAGAAACTACCTCCATTTTCAAAAGCGTATCTTCGAATTGCCTAGTGTACTCCAAACATTCTGGCGAATATCCATGATCATTCAATGGAGCCACTTCATGTAAAGAACATGGCACAGCCTAAAAAGACAAGAAATAAAATAAAATAATGAGAAATAATTTATGTTTGTAAAAATCAAATAGTCTGTTAATGTGGTTTCACTTACCAGCTCTGGTATAGGTAATAAACTCTCAGGTACATAATTAATCTTGCCATAATCCACAATGTCAGAGTTTCCATAATCAACAAAGAAAACTTTTGCATATCCAGGTGTGCTTAAACTTGTGATGCGGGCTCGATACCAATTTCCATCAGAATACTTTCCCAGACAGGGCATTCCTTAAACATGTAAAAAAACATTGAAAGCAGAAAGCAAAATAAAAACATTCATATGGCAGCAATAGCAAAGAATAGGACAAAGAAACTTTACCAATGTAGGGATTGACTGGTCTGCTTTCATTGTCTTCCACAGAAAGATAAGAGGAAATCATGTCCGAAATGTGTTTGGTGATGCTTAGATCCTAGCAGATAGAAAAACAAATATAAATCGAATCACAGCATCCACACACACAAACACACACAGATAATACAAAAAGAAATGTTCTTCACCTTCTGTACGTAAAAGTGAGAAGGAGTAAGCCATGATGAAATCAGAACATGTCCATTCAGCACACCCAATGGAAGATCAGCATGTTTAGGGTATTTTCTCTGAGAGGAAACGGCAGGCAACTTAAACAGACATCAGGAAGACAGAAGATTCATAAAAGGTGAGAAGGAATACCAGGCATTAATAACTGTGGGAGATATTAATAGTTACCTCCCCAGCCTCTTGGAACGAACCAACCCCTAGATGAACGATTGTGTCACGAAGGGATGAGGGCGCTGAACCGTCGCCTGTCATAGGGAACAAGTCTACCTGGATTTTGTCAGGAGAAGTTTCCATCACATGCATCCACAAAATACCTCTGCAAAAAACATATAGGCTGTAAAATTCAAAATCTATAGGTTGATAAATTTATGAAACCCACAGAAAACAACTTACTGCGTTAATTTTGCCATTACATTCAGTGCACTTTGATCCCAGTGCCCACTGGGCGGAAATGTATGAAGCAAGGAGCACTTCACTGCTTGAGCAGGGAGTGCTGTGTACTGACAGGGTAGTTCCCTTATACTAAAAAACAGCAGATAGTGTAAATGATGGAGAACTATGACCAAACATGCTTGACAGCACAAAATTATTATAATCAAATTTTTACTTACATGTCACCGGTAACTTTTTCAATACTTCCATAGTCCACAAATTTAATGTAATGATCCTGCACTTCTCTATTATTTTCAGTTGGTATAACTATTCCTCGATACCACGACTTGTCTGATGCCTTTACAGCATATAGTTTGCCTGCACACAAATATTTTAGTTTTCAGAGATCAATCAATTAGTCAATCACGCAACCCCTCTAAGATAAGCATAAAAAGTTGAACTTAAAGAAGAGCATCAAATGCGCAGTTGAGAACTCTTACCATGCTCAATGGATCTGGCAGGTTCAGACTTCATAGCAAATTTGCTGATGATTTTGGATAGCTTTGTCAGCTTTTCATGGGCAGATGCCATGATGACATAAAACTCGGACGGATTTTTAATGTGAGTGACGATTACTCCAGAGGTTGACTCTAATATTGAAAACAAACAAGCAAAATTTAGATTTCAACGTTGGCATTCCAAAAGTTTAAAAGAGAAGAGAAAAAAATAAGAAAGTTTACCTCTGGAGAACACATTTAATGGATCAGAAAATTGAAGGGATGTTTTGGTGGTAGTTTTCATACCCGCTGGTACCAGTAGTGGGAAAGTTGAAGATTGTGATGAGCACGTAGAGTTTTGAGAAGATAAAGATTTGTTACTCTGGTCTAGAATGTAAAAAAAAATGCCACAAAGATATTATTTTCTTTTTAAATAAAGAACAAAAATACAACCGAAACTATGATTAAGTGACAGGAGTGCAAATATTGGGCTAACTTTGTTCCAGAGAGTCAGGTGACACATCCAACGGAGGAATTACATAAGATGCTGGAAGATCCTCCTCAGTCGACAGGCACATCATCGCATCTTTCGAAATATCGACACTAATAATGTCATTTAGCTGGTCTCTAAACGCCACACGAACCCTAAACGAAATAAAACAGAAAATGAAAGAAACGATTATGTAGATGTAGATGGCAACAAACCAATGATACAGTAATGTGTATCTTACTGAGCTGCGATGTCTCCGTGCACCAAGTGGCAAGGCACAGCCAGCGCCCTGTCCAGGCGGCTCTTCGCCGCCTCCAGGTCCGCGGTGGGCAAGTTCTCCGGCGTCGTGCAGGAGTGCGCCGCCTTGATCGCGTCACCCAGCTCGGCCAGAGCCGCCGCCAAGCTCGCCTCGACGTCGCGACAGCGGGCCTCGCCCTCGGAACGCTTCTCGGCCAGAAGAGCCGCCGCCCTGCCCTCCTGCAGCTGGAGCTGGCCGTGCAGAAGCACCGCATGCTGCACCAGGTCGCGCTCCGCCGCGGCCAGCACCGTCCTGGCCTTGAGGGCCGAGCCGCCGCGCGACAACTCCCGCGCCTCCTGCAACACATTGTCACACCGGTCAGACAAACATACAAAATAGAAACACAAACACCAACAAGGCGGTGCGAGGGATGCATCCCCTTAGAGCTCCTAGACCAGGCCACCTCCCTTCCGTCCGGGACTTCCCTCGTCTGCAGCGTCCTGCAGCCTGCAGCGGCGTGGCGGGGTAGGCAGAGCGCAGGCATCCAGACGGGCGCCCCGCCGCCCCACCCCACCGCGAGTCCCGCGCCAGGCAGCCCAGGCAGGCCGCGGTGCCGCGCCGTGGACGCGAAATGGCAGTGAGTCGCCGGCCGTGCAGTCGAGCGGGCCGGACTAGACTTGGACAGAGGCAGACGGCCAGCCCGCGACCGCGACGACCAGCGTCATCGGCCCGCTGTCGCGACAACGCACATCACCGCAAGCCGACCCGGCACTGCAGTCAAGTGGAGTGCATCGTGTGTGGCGGCACGCCCTGACGGCCATGACGGCCACCGTGGCCAGGAAGGCCTCCGGGACCAGGGTGCCGTGGACCTACAGGATAGGGGCGCCGCTGCTCCTCATCGCCCTCCAGCTCATCCTGTCAGGTGCGCGCCCGAATACTCCTTGAAGTGTCCAGTGAGGCCCCGCCAAACCGAGTGGGAGCAGCAAGCCGGCAACGGCCGCGGCCATCGCTTGTGGGGAACAGACGCAGAAACGCTCTTTTTCGACTACCGTCGCCATCATCAGCGCGCAGTGATGTAAAAACGGGTGTAGGGCGAGCAGAGCAAGCCCCGTCCTGGACCCGGCGGCCCACACACACACACTCAAACACGCACCAAGGGCGTGCCCACGAGTGAGGTCATCTCGATCCGCCAATAGGTTCATTTGGTCCGTGCCCCGCCTCGCTCCAAGGCCCCGCGCGTGGCATCGCGGCCCCGACGTCGTCCGCCCACCGGTCGACGCGCACGTGCCAGTGCGGTCCCGCGCCCTCGGCGAACGGTCGCCGGCCCGGTGGCTAGCCTCTCGTGCCTCTCGGCCTGGCGGTCGTCCTGGATGCGTCGCGTTATTGACGGCCCTGGGCACGGCGCGGCACGGCCCCGCACGCAGCATTGACAGTGGCGCCCATTTAGAACCCGATCCGCGGCCGCGAGTGAGTCGCCTGGCGGCGTCATGTTCCCCGTCTTGTGGTCGCGTGCTCCAGTTTCCGGTCACGCCCTTCAAGGCCGCGCCGAGCCTTCCTGCTCTCGACGAGGAGAGGAGGAAGCCGGTCAGTGTGCGAGTGAGGCGCGGGCGGCAAGCGGGCGGCAAGCGGGCGCGGGGGTGACACGACAATCGGACAGGGCGACGCGACAAGGCCGCCTCCGATACGGCACGGACACAGGCAAGGCAAGGGAGGGCTTCCGTCGGCCTGTCTCTCTCGCACTTATGCGGTACGTCCTTTACAGTGAATGTGAGCGAGGAGATTTCACTCCGAGTCGGTACGCCCACGCCAGCCGCTGCACCGCGACGCACCGCGACGCACCGCGGACTCCAGACGGCGGGCGGGGTGGGCGGCCGCGGCCCCTACACCCTACGGCGCCGCAACCACTTTATGACGGCGCAGCGCGCAGCAACCACTTTTATGTCGCTCCACAACGCCGCGAGAATTTTCACGCCTTCATATCGAGGAGGGCGTTGCGAAATGAAACGCGCGAAAAAAACAACAAAAAACGATCACGCCAGAGAGAAAAGAAATAACGGGCGCGAGGAGGACGACGACGGCCACGGAGACAGGGCGATGCACGGCCGCGCTAGCGCCGGCAGGCAGGCAAGCCGGGATTGTCTTTTCTGCAATGGCAAGTCGAGGAGGGAAGCCCCCGCGCTTTCCATCGGCCTGCCGCGTTCGCCGCGTTGCAGCACCGGGCGTCGTCGGCCGAGAGAAACAAAACCACAAAACCAAGAAAGTGAGCGGCGGGGCGCCACGCCAGACCACGCCGATGTGGACGCGGCGTTTGCCCGCGGTGATGTCAGCCCGAGCACGCTGCACTCCAGACCGTCGCGTCGCCGCCTCACCGCACCAGTCAGGCCCTGTCCCGCACCCTCCGCGTCGTCTTCACAGAGTCCGCGGCTCGCCGGCCCGCCCTCGCAAATCTTGCAGAGTTCCCCTCCCCTCCCCGGCGACGCGCGACGCGCGATGCGCCCCCCGTTCACCTGACGGCCTGACGGCGTGGCACCGCGCCAGCACCGCCGCGCCAAGAGGAAGCCGTCGAGCCGCGCCGCCGAGACCCGTCCCGCCGATCATAAACACGGACAACAGCGGCGGGGCGATTCCGAAACAAAGCGCTTCGCGATGTCGCCGGGCGTGGCGTGGCGTGGCCGAGGCGTGGCGGAGACGACCCCATACGTCTCGGGGCCGACACTCGCCGCGCCCCGCCCCGCCACGGTCAAGGGCGTGCCGCGCGTGCCGCGGCGTGCCGGCCCGACCGGAGCAGACGACGCCTTTGTCCGCAAGAGAAGGGCGCCCTCCTCTCCTCGCCGCCTGGCCGCCGCCAACTCCCAAATCGGGCGGGACGGTGCACTTGCAGCGGCGGCCGACGGCGCGGTGCAAGCAGGCCTCTCAGGGCCTGGGCCTGCCGCGGTGACGAGCCGAGTCCGACGCGGTGCACTGCAGAGCCGCGCCGGCGCCGGCGGACCGAGCCGAGCCGGAGCACGGGGGTAAGCGGGGGTACGGCGGCGGGTACGCGGGTACGGCACACATGCGCCGCGGGTACGCCTGCCTCGCGGCGCGCCGAGCCAGGGCAAGCCGGGGCGAGACGGGGCGCTAGCAGCCTAGCAGCCTGCATGGCGCTGCCGCGCTGCATGGCCTGGCCGACGGCCTGGCGGGTCACGGCCGCACAGTAACTGTCGTCACAGCTGCCCCGCCGCTACCGCCGCTACCGCCGCTACCGCCGCGGCTGCAGCCTGCAGCGCGCCGCGGACAATGGCGACACCGCACCACACGGCCAGCGGGCGCCAGCGGGCCACGCCCCGTCACATACTCGTCACACGTTTCGTCACGTCAATCATATTTTCACGTCACGCCAACCAGGGCTGGCCACAGCCCGCGTGGCGCGCCAGTTCGACGTCGACGACGACGCACAATCGTCCTGTCACGTTATCGTCACGTCACCGGCAGCAGCGTGCCGAGCGCGCGAGGCCCCCGCCGCAAACGAGACCGTCACGTTTCGTTGCACGCACGCACACACACAAAAACACATACATACACACACACGCACACACACACAGCAGCGCGCGTGGCGACCTGGGTGGCACCATATAACAAGCCGGCCAGACCCCTGCGAGGCACACATCAACCAGTCAATAATAAAACCAATTAGGAGGAAGTGATAAAATATGTACCCGACTAAGTGGACAGGAACGCCCAACGCCCAGGCCGCCCTGGACGGCGGCCGTTGCGCAACCCATTGGCGCTGCCGTCCGTGTATTTCTCGGTGACCTCTGCACCCAATAGGAATCGTGCATAAGGCCGGGCGTGGCGCGGCGAGGGGCACCGGGGCGCACGCCCCGTGGCAACCGCTGGTAGCGGGGTCCGCGGCCACCGCGGCCACCGCGCGGCGCGCCCGAGAACGCCTTTATCGCCGCCGAATCGGCCGGGGGCCACGGGCAGTCGCGGCCCGGCCCAAACACTGCACTCGGAGTCCTCGACGCGGCGCGGGCTGCGCGGCCAGCTCGACCCCGCCGTGCTCATTATGATTTTCTCCCACTTGCCGCGCGGCTGCGCAGCCCCAGCAGGCCGCCGACACGTGAGCTATGGTTAGCATCGCGCCCCGCGATCTCGCCGGGTCACACCGCCCCGCCCCCCCGGCGGGAGCGCGAGCCCCACCCCCGCCGCGAAATGCTAATAGACGTTTTCGTATCGGCGAGATGGAGCGCCGCCGCGCCGTCTGGCGAGGCGCGCGGTGTCTCGTTCGCGGACAGCCAGGCCTTGATCCAGGCCGTTTGTCCTTCCGGGACAAACCAATGCAAATCCGTGGCCAGCTAGATACGCGATCCGCACACGAGTCGTTTCGTGGCTGCCTCTCTGTCGCACTCTTTGGGATCTCCGTCGGGGCGCGCGAGAGAGAGAGAGCGACAAGCTGTTCTGGCGGGGGGTCGGCTTGATTACCCCAGCAACAACTAGAGCCACACCTGGGGGGACTGGCTGGCAGGGGGACTCTGGGAACACACCGCGACCGGGCAAATCGAATGTTAATCCTATCCAGCAGCTGGCCGGGCCGAGCGGGCCGCGCGTCCGACCGCGCCAAGGCCGAGCGGCGCCGCGCAGCGCCTTGGGCGCAGCCGCGCAGCCAGCCCGGCACCACGCCCACACGCACAACAAGCTCGACCCGGCCCGGTACGGCCGGTACGCAGTTTGGCCTGTTCAGCCCTGTCCCCTTTTGCAAACTGCTCACTTGTCCCTCGCCGGCGTTCAAGTCTCCGGCGGGCGTCGGCAACTCCAGAGAGCGGCGTGAAGGGCGGGCAAGGGCGTGGTCCGTGCCCCCCGGGGCCCTGGCCGCGCTGCCAGCCTGGCGGGCTGGCGGGGGCACCAAGCCAGCGAAAGGGCTGCCGCTGTTTGCTGTTAGCCCGCCTGTCTTTCTTCCCGCGAACGCAGAACGCGGCGACACTGCCCGCGTCGATCTGCCCGCCGCCCACTTTCCCAGCGCGGCTGCGCGGCTGGCGGCTCGCCTTTGTCCAACAAGACCGCACTGCGATACACGTGTCGCGTGGCCGTGCCGCCGCGCCGGCGACCAGCACCCGAAGCGCGCCGTGCGTCTTCAAGGCCCCGTTCGCGCTTGGCGCGGCTTGGTGTTCGTTCGCACAGTCCTCGCGCTTCGCGCCGCACGCTGCGACCTCCACTTTTCTCCAGCCGTCCGCGCCATCGCCACGGCGCGCCATCCGATAACCGACGCCCCTTTACTGGCCATCGCTCAACGCAACCTCCACGCGGCGCGCGGCACGGCCGGCACGCACCGCACGCTGCTCATCTACTGGCGGCACAGCCGGCGGCCACGAGGATTAGGGACGCTAACGACCCTGTTCTTGTTGCAGACGGCCTGGAGGAAGGGGCGAGCGTCAAGAAGGCACGCGCGTCCTCGGTGGACGACGCGCACGCCGAGCCGGACCAGAGCCTGGACGAGCGGGGCGACCAGCGCGGCCGCGTGCCGCCGGGCTTCCTCAGCCCCTCCGTGCAGGAGTACCTCGAGCTGGGCAAGTCCATCCCCGGTAAGGCCGACACCACCATCAAGGGGGCGCCATGTTCCTTCCTCCTCATCCTCCTCGTCGCCGTCACGGCCAAGGGCGCCGACGAGCAGGCGACCCGGGGGCGTCCGGCCGTCCGGGGGGCGTGGACGCCGGGCCATTGTGTTGGCGGCGCTCGACGCGCTCGGCCGTCAGGCGGAGCAGAGCCTCGGCGAGACGGGCCGGGCCAACCCGCCCTGTCGGAAACTGACTGACGGACACATCATCGCCTCGGAGGCCTACCCCCGACGGCCCGACGTCTAGACGCTACAATTCTAATAGGGCCCGTGCAGGGCGAGCGCTAGGACGTCGTCATGATAGCCATCCAGCCATCCCGCCGCCACGGGTCCGGAACCAGAGCCTTGGCCCCGTCCGCCACGCCGACGAGGGTTTCAACTTCGAAATTTAATTTCGGAGCCAAATCAAACAGCGCGAAAAACAACAACAAACGTCGCGACGGCCTTCTTTCTGAGAGCCTCCGCACGCTGCCATTTTATTTCATCACACCGTAACCGTCTTGCCGTGTTACAGCCCCCTTGGCAATTAGCACTCGAACGGTCCGGAGCGTCCCACTGTGTCAGTCCCACTACACTGCATGCGGCAGACGCGGCACAGCAAGTCACAACGCACCAATTAGAATACAACGCAAGTCATGTGTCACCGCCGGGCCTTGGCACTCCTCCTGCCCACACAGCGTGGCACACACACACACAGCCCGCAGACGGACGAGCGTACACACACAAACACACACGAACGCACACATGTGCAACACCTTTTCGTAAGTCCGACGCGCAGGGTGTAGAATCCCAAATGTCCGACGCGTGTGTGTCTGCGAGTGCGGGTGAGCGTGTGTGGGTGGCGCGGCGCAGCCCGGCGCCAAAAGGCCCACATTGTGTGCTCACACTCCAAAGCATTCCGCGCGGCGCATGTACGCACATTGACACACACACACACACACTGCCTCCCAGCCCGTTTACTCAAACAATCGCTGATTCACTGCGGGCGCGCGCGCGCATAATGCCATGATTGTTTCCAAAGCGGATTCTCGCGCCAAGGGAATGATACACAGTGCAGGCAGACATCTTCGCGCCGGGCCGGGCCAGGCCGGGCCGCCGGCAACGTACGTCGACAAGCACAGGGCTCCATTGCCGCACCGCAACGAAACGCCCTGGGGGGAGGGAGGGATATGCATACCGCACAAATGTAATGGCAGTCCGACTTTTCCAGTGCGGTGCCAGTAAGCTTGCTCTCTGTGTCCCCAGGCCGGCCCGGGACGGACTACCCCGTGCTGGGCGTGGTGCCCTACACCAACTTCTACTGCGACGAGCAGGAGTACCCGGGCTTCTTCGCCGACATGGACACGCGCTGCCAGGCGTGGCACTACTGCGACATCGACGGGCGCCAGGCCACGTTCCTGTGCCCCAACGGCACGCAGTTCTCGCAGGCCGTCTTCGTGTGCGACTGGTGGTTCAACGTGCGCTGCGACCTGTCGCCGCAGCTCTACGCCATCAACGCGCGCCTCTACGGCACGCCCAAGCTGTCGCCCACGCGCCCGCACCGCGTCATCGACAAGCAGCTCGTCGAGGACATCTTCACGTGAAGGGGGAGCGAGAGCGAGAGCGAAGCGCCGGGCGGGCGACGACTCGCTAATCCGCTGGAACCGCGCCCTGCCACTGCCACTCCACCCCGCAGGATTACCGCGAGCGGGCCGCGGCAGGCCGCACCTTCGCGAGTCGTTGCCCCCTCGGTGGCAGACTTGGCAATTATTTATCTCATTTGGAGGAAACCGAAAGCAAAACCCAAGCCGAGCCCTGGGCGCCCTTTGACCACGAGGCCCGCGCTTCCTGCCTCCTCGTCGTCGGCGTCGTCGGCGTCGTCCCGCGGTGAGCGCGGCGTCGCGACGCTCCGGCCAACCTCGCCAAACCGACGACGCGGGGTTCCTCATTTCTTCACAGTCCGACCGGCCGGCCGGCCCCCAGCGGCACCGCCAAGGCGCCGCGTCGCTCCGGGGCTGGCCGGCTGGCCGGCCCTAGACCCACCGTTCACTTCCTCATGCCAGAGCGCCCCGCCGCCCGGAGTCGGCGTGGACCGCGGAGTCGACGCCAACCCCGGAAAAGCCGCCGCCGCCAACAACCCTCCCGACACGGAGGACCCGTCGACGCGGCGCCCTTCGCGTGACAATCGGACGCGTGGCTAGCACGCCAGTGCGCCTCCACCTTAGTGTCAGTGTGCGAGTGAGTGAGTGTGTGCGTGTATGCACGCGGCCTGTTTGTGAGTGTGAAAGTAGAGTTACGTGTTCGAGTGTGTAAATGTCGGCGCGGTGCCGCGGCTCGCCAAGTGCCGAGTAAGTGCGCGAGCGAGATGGGCCGTAACGGCACCGCGCCACACCGGGCACCGCACCGGGCACCGCAACGCCAAATTAGCCGCAGGTCAGTGCCGCTCACTAGAAACAAGACGCCATTGTTTCTTCATTTTTCTGTTTTATTGTTCGAGACGACTGTTGGAGACGTTTCCAAGTCTGTGATGCGCACGGCCTCCACCGCCGTGTCAACCGCCGTCGAGGCCCGCGCCCCGCGGTCCTTCACCTCAATAGGCGCGAGCCGGCCCGGGTTCAACCCCCCGCGGCGGCAAGCTTTTTCTCTGCCCGTGGCAAGGCCCGGCGAGGCCCGGCGAGGCCGGCAAGGCCCCGCCCTGCCAACAATGGGTCATGCCGTCGCCCCCACCTCTGGGCACCTGCCAATGATCATAAGCAATAATCATCACGCCTGTCGAGTCATTCAGAAGAGTCGTTTCGTCGCTCCGTCTCTCTCGCACCCGTACGGGAGGCCGCATGAGTGCGACAGAGACAGAGCGACGCGTCGCTGGAATCAGTCCACTGCCAGCGTCCCGGCCGGCGGGACAATCGGCCGCTGTTCCAGGCAGGCGCAGCGCAGCGAAGCGATGATTGGAATAAACAAAGTTGAACCACCACACCACTGTCCACGCTTTTTTCATTCGCCCGCCCTACTCCCGCCCACACCAACGTCAACACAACATCACAACAATCGAGTCCTTGATGACGCGCGGCGCGTGCAAATTGCACTCCGCCTAATTGCCTCCCCCCCCCCCTTTTCTCAGCGATCAGGCTGCAGTGCAGCGCGGACGAAAAGACCGCCCTTGTCGCGGCGAATCTCGAGTCCCTCGGCCCGCCGGCCCCTCGGAACACAATGCGCCCGCGGGACCCACAGCGCCACAGCCCAGCCGGATGAATGGAGTGAGCGAACGGCGAGATAACCACGGCGAGGACACGGCCATCTTTGTCCACGGGGGGCCGGCCGGCCGGAAGGGCGGCCAGGCAGCCAGGCAGGCAGCCGCTGGACCGCCCCGCCGCCGCAGCCAGCCAACACGACCGGTCGGTCGGTTGCAGTTTGCTGCAGACAGCGGCAATCAGGCGCGCCCGGCCAGTCCAGGTCTTTGGCCTGCTGCTGGCGCGCTGCTGGCCTGGCTGCTCCCATCTCGGCCAGCGGGCTGCCTGTTCCGCCCTGCCGGCCGGCCGGCGCGCCCAAGACGGCTGCTGAAATGTCACCAGCCCTCAACACACGCATTCGCACGCGGCAGCGCGCCTCAGAGGAACGACAGCCGTTTCAAACGACGCCCAATTCCACAATAATGACAGCGCACACACACACACACTTACTGCACTAGAAGCACTGCCTCGCTTATGAAACCCTCCCCGGGCGGACCAGCTTGCCGGCCCCTCGGCCCGCCCTACCCCACAGCGGTACTGCTACTCCACTTGGCGTCGCCCCGCGTCGCCCCGCGTCGCCCCGCGTCGCCCCAGGGGGACCGAGGTGTGGGCCACACCGCGTGGCGTGCACTCCAGCGCGCGCGGCCGTGCTGCATATCACGCCGCAGTACTTCTCACCCTACTTACACCACACGCCACGCCTCGCGGTTCAATTTAAAATTCAAACCCAAAGGCAGAACGGCGAAAAACTGCAGTTTAACTTCAGAGATAAGAGAGCGTTTCAGAAAGCATTTTCTTCCTTTCCTTGAATATAAAATGGTTTCACTCGAAAATCCAACTCCATAACACTTGTATCACGTGGTCAGAAAATAGCATCACATACAGCCAAAGTTAAAAATTTGAAGAAAAAGAAGGGAAGAAAATTAACTTTGTTTATTTGTTTGTTATGGAAGTTTTTTAAAAAATATCTCAGGACGTACCGGCGTGACGTGAAGACCTTAGAGGGGTGTTGCGGGTGGGTGGTCCTCTGAGCCGCCACACACGCCTCAGCCTTCCACAACAAGCAGGAACAACCGCCCAGCGGCAGAGCCGGCAAAAGCCACGCCGCCCGGCAGTCGACCGGTCCGCAGTCACGGGGGAGGAGGAGGGGGGCGGCTGGAGTCGAAGGGGACGCCTACCGCCGCGGCGCGGGAAAGGCACGTCTCACCGCCGCGACGTCCGCAGCCCCGCGCCGCGCACGCACGAAGGGTGGCCGACGCGCGGCACCGCAGGGGCAACCCCGGCGCCGCTGCGTCGTCCAGCCCAATGCCGCGGAAACGCCACATGGGCCATACCGCACGCGGGCCGAGGAAGCGTCTCGACCCATTGGCTGCGCCACGGTCTACTTCACTGTGTGTACGCGCACGCGCCACGCAACGCGGCGACCACAACCAACAACCAAAACTGTGGTCAGCCCGGCGCACGCCAAACGCCCGCCCTGCAACACCCAAAACGCCCGCCGACTCCAGGGTAGGCCAGCCCGCAACACCCAAAACGCCCGCCGACTCCAGGGTAGGCCAGCCCGCAACACCCAAACGCCCGCCGACTCCCGCAGCACGCCACAATCCTCCTCTGTCTTGAGGGACGAGATCCACAATTCAGGACCGAGCTTGTGGCCGACAAACGAGCCGAGATGATGCGCTGGCAGTGGCCGCCCTGCCCGGACTGGCCGGCGTGGACACCGCCAGATGGCCTCCCGATACCGAAGCGCTGGCCGGCGGCCCCCCTCGGGCCTCCCCGCCTCACCGCGCCCCGCCGCGCCCCGCGCACCGAGGGGTACCGAGTGCCGCCTTCCCAGTTTGGGATTCAATTGCCCTGCCGGCCCCGCGCCGTGGCCGCCGTGGCGCCACGCCCCCAGTGGATAAATCAGTGCAGTGCCCCGCTGCCCCGCGTCCGCCAAGCTGACTCGCCTCTCACCGCGACCTTGCGCCGCCCCACCCAGTTAGCGAGGCGAACTCAAAGGCCGCTGAATCAAGTAGCGGTCCACGGCGTGGTGCATCCGGATCGGCCGACACTGGCACTACAAAACAAACAATGACACAGCGAGCAGGACATGGGTGTCGGCCAGTGCAGGGCTTGTTGATGCAGACGCGATACAAATGAGGCGCAGGGCCGCGACGGGGCGCCGCACGGCCGTGGCGACACACGGCGTGCACGGCGAGCACCGCGACAACATTCTCGCTATCGCCGCCCGCCATCTCGAGCCAAATGCACAATGCAGCCCGACCGCAGTGCAACAATAATGCAGCGGACTCATTCCGAGCGTCGTATTCGTCGCTCTGTCTCTCTCGCACCCATAAGAACAGCCGCATGAGTCCGAGAGAGGCAGAGTAAGCACCCCGGCGCGCGGGGGCATCGCCATTACCCGTGCATGGCGCGTCGCCGCGCGACCACACCACTGTGACCGACCGCCGCGCCGGACCCTCCAGTAATTAAACACCTGTGTTCCGGGACGCCGCCACCGCATGCAGCGGCAGCGCTTTCTCCGGGCAGCACTAGCGAGCCCAGCGCGGCCGCACCGATATGCACCAATGTCAAGAGCGGACGCAAGGCGCAGCTCGCACCGCGCTCACTCGGCCAGCGCTTGCGGCGCTTGCAGCGCTTTCGCCCGGCGCGCTCGCGCCCAGCATCTGCCGGTCGGTGCATCCACGTGTCCTTCTGTTCCTTTCCCCCGGCCGGCTTTCCCCGTGCATGGATAACACGTGTCCGGCAGCGCGGCCAGCAACGCCACGCCGCCATTAAGACAATTGCCCGCGACGCGCGCATGCCCGCCCCGCCCCGCGCACGCGCCTCGGACCGGAGAAATCTTCTTTTCAACCCCCGGCAGGCCATCGCGCTCCGTGGCTCCGCCTCGCTTAATCCGCCGATGTTTACGAGCGTCCGCCGCGCCGAGGCCTTGAACGAGCAGAGCACTTGTCCGTCGAGCCGCGCCGCAGCCGTTCACCCAAATTGCCAAACGCGTCCGCGCCGCGCTCCAATCACGCCGTCTCCGTCCTGGTGGCGGGCCTCGCCTCGCCTCGCCACCTGCTGCACGGCGTGGAGCTGGGCGTGGCGGGGCGGGTCGCGGTGTCCAGCCAGCCAGCCCGGCCCCATGCGGCCCGGTCCGTCCTTTCACTTTCGACTCGTCCCTTCCCGCTCCAAAGCTGCTGCGAGTCCGGCGAGGCCAGTCGACCGGGCGCCGCAGTTATATCAGTTTAACAACGGCACGGCGTCCGCGGCCCGCAGTCCGCGCGGAGTGCAGAGTGCATACCCTCCGCTTCCGCGACGCCCCGCGACGCCCCGCGCACCGCGCCGGCCAGCGACGCCGTGACCTATGCCGAGCGGGCCGAGGCGCCAGACAATCCCTTTCGTCCTCCTTTCACACTTGCCACGCATAAGAAGCCGCGGCCCGTCGCACGCACACAGTCACACACAGACAGAGGCACGCGCCCGTCATAAAAATAGGAAACAATGACGACACGACCTCCGCGCAAACGAGCGCATTACTGCCGCCGCGCCGCCGGCCGGGGCAATACCGCGCCGTTACATTTCTTGGTGCGACCCGACCCGTTCCTTTTGCAACGAGCCCGCCGCGCGTCTGTCTGCGTGCGTCGCGACGTCGCCGCCACTGTGCACACACGTCAAGGAGCCTCATAACGCGTTCGGGCAGCCATTTGTTTCCGGGTGAGGCGGGTACGGGGTACAGCTACGGTACAAGCAGGCGAAGCAGGGCACGGCAGCAAGATGGCCCCGGCGCACACCACTCGCCAGTTATCACAACGCATGATGGCGGCGGCCCGATGGCGCACGGCCGTCGACTCTCTCCGTCTCTCTCGCACTCGCGGGGCCTCACGTAGGGGCGCGACAGAGACGGAGCGACGAAACGACTCTTCGGAACGGCCCCACAGCGACTGCACGCGGACAGTGATGCAAAGACACTGCAAAGACCGCGGAGTGGAGGAAGGTCTCCCTCCAGGAAGCGGGCCAGCGGGCCGTCAGGGTGTAATGGCTCCATTGTAGAGCGGGCCAGTAGCCCCACCGCGCACGCGCACAAACACACGCGTCCCGTCGCGGTGCGTCCTCGTCTCATCCCGAACCGGGGGAGTCTCCAGCGCCACCAACGCCCGGCCACCCCCTCCCTTTTCTCTCCTTAATTATGCCATAAAACGAGCCGTAGAAAGCCGTCCGCAGTTGCAGCTTGCTCCCGCTCCTGAGCGATGCGATGACGGTTGCACAAAACCCCCCTCCGCGTTTTCGTGACAAACATTAATCGCGCATCGTGCGCGGCGCGGAGTTGCGCCCGCTGCTGCCCGCTGGCCATCGACCACTTCCGGAACCCAATCGGCGTGTGCTGCAGAGCCTGTGGTGCTGATGATGATGAGCACAATGGGGCAGCGGGCCGCCACTACGGCGCCGCCCACTCATATTTCACGGCTCATTTTCACACCTTTCCCCGGAGCCACGCCACCGCGGCACCACCACGGCGCCAAGGCTCTCCCGGCCGGGCGACCGCCCCGCCCGCCCCGCCGCCCAGCCACTTAGCATAGACCGCGCCCGCCTCGCGGCCTGCCCGGCGTCACTGGCCCGCCGCGGTCACGATCGAACAAACCCCAAACACGGCTCGCGGCTTGCTCGCGGCACGGTGCGAGTGACCAGCCCAGCCAGCGGTCGTGATGACGAGGCCTTGCCGCCTTGGCCCTCTACATGACACGGCCCGGCCCGCTGCGG